CTTTAGTAAACTAACTAGCACTTAGAAATCTCAATAATTAAACTGCTTGATTGAAAATGTGAAATGTAAAATTAATTTCATTAGTCTTATATTAAAGTATATTATTACCAAACGCAAAACAAAAAAGATTGCTTACGTGAAATCGTTTTAATGAACTGAAGGTTGAATGAGAAAAGCAAGTTTTCTCTCAATGTTGAGAAAGACCTGAAAAAAGCTATATTTATGCAACAGATATGTGACGTTAATGTTGTAATGTTAGCCGAACTTGATAGCTTAGAGGTGGTGTCTAGATATATTAAGGCCGGTTTGAGACACCACTGCTAGCTTGCCTAAGAGACTTCATAACAGTGAATATTATAAACTACACTATATCCTGGTTTAGTTGTTAAAAGTTGTTTATAGAGTTATAATATATGATCAACTATATTACTCTTTAGTAAGACTGATTATTGACCAAACCTAGCATCAAGTTTGTGTCTTCTGGTCTTGGTTAAAATCTTTGACTCTAGTACAGGGAAGGGTTGAACTAATAAACGGAAAATGATAAAAAGAGCCCCGGTGAAGCGGATTACCAAGTCTAAACCTAATGCTTTGTTCTTTCGAGGAGTTCTTATCTTTTTGGGGGGTCGGTAAATCACTTTCTCAAGATGAAGATGGTTTTACAGGAGACCTCCTTCTGCGTTTTTTTGTGTCCCCACAGGACTATCACCCGACTATGAATTTGGGAAAAATCTTTTAGGTGGTCTCCTCTGTCTTTGTTTATTCCCACTTTCCTTTTCGGAGTATACATCAGAAGTGAATTGTGCTTTTTGCTCCATCCCTCTTGTAGTTTTCAAGTTGTCTAAAACAATAACATGTCATTATAAAACTTTAACCTACAGCAGATTTTTTAACCAGCCTTTTCAATTCAATTTTTTAACTAGCCCTTTCAATTCAATTTTTTGAAGTGAAAGATTATATTACTGCACTGTTGTACTAACTTTACAGCACTAGTGTGACAAGACTCTGAAAATATGAAATATTCTTTTTACCATCCAATTCAAAGACATTTAACGGGTAAATAATATGTTTGCAAACTTTTTATTGTTTTATCCTTCACTGATAATCATTTAGGAGATACTTTAATTTTGTTTGTTTTTATTTTAATGTTTTAAATATACTGTTTAATACATTTAGTAGGTAATGCTAAAAAATATGGTAATAACATTTGTTTACTTAAATACATAAAAAAGTAATTATCGTGAGAATGCTTGCTAGCAGTACCTATTCCCTGAAAAAGTAACAGAAAGAGTACCTATAGGTAATGACATTTTAAACACAAAATAAAAAAAAACAATCAGCCAAAAAATACTAGATAAAGTAGTGTAAGCAACTGGCGTAATTAGCCTTTACCACTTTCGTAGAAATGTTTAAGGAACGGGCCTTTCTACTTGTGACGTAAAGATTAAGGTCTAAAACGACCTTGGATAACCCGGGGGCTCAGATAATCGAAAGTGTACGGAAGCCTTGTTGCGTGTTTTCTGCCTGTTTTATTTGAGTTAATACCTAAATAAAATTAACTACTGTTCTTAACAATTTATTCACCACTTAAAATACCTGTCTTTATTTGCCTTCTTGAAGACCAAGAAATTGTATTTTTATTTTTGTTTAAGGTAGGATGGTTTTAAATATACTGTAGGCTACAGTATAGGGCAGTTAAGATTAGGTTTTATATTAGAGAGGTGTTTCAAGGTTACAATTACATTTATGATGACGTAACTAATGATAATAACACATAGGCCTACTCGTAGATGATATCATTCTAATCTCCCATTTCGTCCAATTTTTTTACATCAGACTCATCGGCTTGTTTTGCCGGAAACTTGGCCTCTAATTTTAACTGGTCACGCTCAGGTCAATAGCATGTTACTTTTTCCTCGCTCCAACGAATCCACGATTTGTGGGCAGGTGCAACTTCACAAGTTTCAATGAACTCAACCACCACAAAATCTTTGAGTGTCTCCATTAATCTGAAATTTGACAAAATATTCAAAAAAATTCTACCACTAAGCCAACAATCGATTACCAAAGTTATCATTTTGGTTGCTATACATTTTTTTTACTATTGTATATAAGTAGAGCCTACTAAATTAAAACATTAGGATCACACATGTGATTTTTTGTTTTACAAAAACTAGCTGTTACCCACGGGCTTCACCCCCTTTGACTTCTTAAGTTTATTAATAAAATTGATTGGTTAAATTAAGCTGAAATAAACAAAACAGAATACAGTAATACAAAGTAATACAGTAATCGTCGTTCCTTGTGGCATAAAGTCCACTAGCAAAACACCGCGCCGGTCCCAGAACACAGTTGCCATAATATTGCGCTTTGACAGAGTCTGTTTGGCTTTGACATTGACGGGTGAGGTTGTGTGTCGCTATTCCATTGATTGTCGCTTGCTTTCGGGAGTGATATGAGATACCCACTTTCATCTCCAGTGACAATTTGACTCAACATGTCATCCCCTTCTTCGTCGTAACGAGTCAAAAAGTCCAATGAACTGGTAAATCTCTTCACTTTGTGGTCCTCTGTGAGGAGTCTGGGTACCCACCGAGAACACAATTTCTTAAAGTTAAGCTTTTCAGACACAATTTTGTACAAAACTGGTCTTGAAACTTGTGGAAATTGCAAAGAAAGAGTGGAAATTGTGAATCTTCTGTCCTCACGAACCTTTGTTTCGACTGCAGCCACCAAATCATCAGTGATTAGAGAGGGCCGGCCTCAGCGTTCTTCGTCATGGACGTTTTGACGGCCATTTTTAAACTCTCTAACCCATTGTCGCACTTTACCTTCACTCATTGCATTCAAGCCATAAACTTCTGTTAACTGACGATGAATTTCTGCAGCTGATAGGCTTCTAGCGGTCAAAAAACGTATCACTGACCGTATCTCACACGCGGCGGGCGATTCAATAATCGTAAACATTATAAAGTAGCACAGCGATGCGTACACGTCAGCTACAGATCTGCGCTGCAACTGGCATCAGTGACTGAGAACGGGAAGGATGCCGGGAAGTGGCGCGGTGGCTTGTTGCGGCATCCGCGCGAACTACTGGACTATACACGCAACCGGCCCTTACTTAAAAAACAACCCTCGTATATGTGTCCGTGAACGCGATAACTTGAGTAATTTTTGTCCGATTTTGATGAAATTGGGTTTAAAGGTGTAAAGCAGGACAAACTTGAATGAGTTCGCGAACCAGCATGATCGGACTATAGGAACGGGGGTTTATGGGGGGGGGGGTTTGGGATAAAAATAGGTTTTTCCCATTTTTGACCCTAAAACACAAAATTTCACAATTTCTTTCCAAACCATTATGTAGAGCTTAAAGAAACAAATAATTTAGTATATAGAAGCGTTATTATGCGCCTAAGGGTTACGGAGAAAATTCAAAAAATTTTAATTTTAAAATTCCCATGTTATTCTTATGGAGAATAAGTCAACTGTTGTAGTTTACTTGTTTATGAACATATTTTGATCAAAATACATTAATTTTTTACTAAACTACAGTACCTATTAACATTTTACATTAAAAAAAACTTTTTTACCCTCCCTGTTGCAGCAAACCTAAGTACTCGATAAACTAATTCTATTTAATTAGGGAATAAATGTGATATTTTTAAGGAGAGATTTGAGTGTAAATCCAATCAGGCAAATGGAAATTCGCTAAGTCTGCAGGTTTGCTGCGGCGGGGGTATTTTTATATTTCGAATAAAAATGTTGTTTTTTTAGTTACCATAAGGGTGATTCTCCAGTTAGAGGCCATTTTGACTTGGTAAAAAAATAAAAATAACAAAAAAGGTTTTTCTGCAATTTTATCAATTGAAATGATTTATTACTTGTCATAGGGCATGCCTACATTGCTGGCAGAGCTACTTTATTTATTTTTTATGTTTTATGACCTTTTTTAAACTAACCTAGCCATGCTAATGACATTAGGTCCATGCTAATGACGGTTTCGTAAATAAAAGACCAACATATATGAATAATTGGCATTATATTTGTATAGAGGATAATTACATCTGTTTACTTGAAATAATAGAAATGTAATGTTAATATTGCAACAACAAAATTATCCAGGAAATTAAAAAAAATCCTTAAAAGTGAAATATGATGACCGACTGCTGCACGGAACAGGTGGATCAATCAATTTCACCGCATCACTAAACTTGTATTTCATCTTATCTTCTTTCGAAGGCCATTTGTACTTGTTTCCATCACTTGAATACCGGTACATAACTTTTACTTCCGCTCTTTCATTGTCCATTCCCACTATTTCTCCAGGATATTTAGTCCCCTCATAATTGACTACGACCCAGCCTCCGATCTTCAGTCGTGAGCCACCTGTAGAAAGGGTCTTAATTTACTAATAAACTATAAACAAAAATCATTTATACAGATTATGTAATTAATAATACAATAAAGTAAAATAAAAATCGGCTTGACTTTCAATGAACTGGTATATTTTACGTTTTGACTTTGTGTCTATCTAAATTAAAAACAAGAATCTAGCATACAATTGGTAGTGAAAATATGTTAAGAATATTTATCATAAAATACTGTTAACAACCAGTTATTAAGATAAGAATTTATATTATGATTTCAATTGAGTTATATCATTTTAAGCTACATGTTTTTATTTTTGTTTTTAAATCCACAAGAAAACGTTCTTTATGTAAAAGTAAAATAGTTAAAATAACATAGTATTATTTTGATTGTAATAATAACTCTTACCTTCGCCACTATCCAAGCTATCATCTGAGCCATAAACATCCTCATATTTCAGTCTGGTTACTGGTTTTGTAGCATGTAGATTTTCTTGATCTTTCATGGGAAGCTCTTCTAATATTTGAACATTTTCTTTGGTCAGAACATTTAGCTTCACGAGATGATAGTGGTTACATTTATCACCAGGCCCACAAGAAAAACAACTAAGAGTTCTAAACATCATACTCCCTTCATTTTCTCTTGACCAGCAAGCTTGGTGTACTGACATAGTGCCTTTTTGACACATTTTCCTGCAAGAACTGTCCCTCTTCTAATATGAACTTTTCTTCGATGGGAAGTACATAAATCTTGTCTACTTTTAACTGTAACAGTTAAACTTTTCAAAATTATTGATATCTTTTCCTTGAGCCACAGCTTCGTCTCCGATTCTTTTTAGAGAGCCTCCTACTCCATCAGCAGCATTTTTGCCATGACCTGACTCTGAATAATTCCATGTAATAGATTTTAAATTTGGAAATAGATCAGGTATGCGAGTCGCCATGAGAAAAAAAATTGATTTATTTCTATACTGAGAGCTTACACTGTCTGACAGTAGGTGCAGGTGTTCTACTTCCGGACACTGATCAGTGAAGTACTCTAAAATTGGTTTAAGATGTGCCATTATTGCTGGAGCATCATGATCAAGAACAGGTGATATGGTAGCAAAAGCCTTTGTGAAATCCTTTGAATATGCAACACCGCAGTGGAGTGACACCTGTTGCCTTGAAGCGCCAAAATGCACAGACTGAATTTCGGAAGAATATTTACAAATACAATTTTCAGAAAAGTCTACATTCAGAAGTAAATCTTTGGAGGAAAGTTTAGACTTTAACTCTGTTATAGCATCATACTGGTAGGCAATATTCATTTCATGGAGTAAGAAAGGGTCTAACAAAGATTGGAACTTCTTAACAAGTTCTAAAACTGTACAGTTTGTTCTTCTTTTCTTTACAACCTTCACAGTGATTTCTTTTTTTGTTTTACTACTTATCCTTTTTTCAGTTTCTGATATCCATTCGTTATATTCTGTTAATTCTTCTGAGTCAAAATTTGAATAACATATGTTATTATTTTTACATTTATAGCCTTGGTTCTTATAGCATTTGTCTTTTCTTTCTTTCCATGAACATGTCAAGTTGTTGACTATTTCAAATGGTGTGTTTTCTTTAATGACGTTCAAGGAATGCAACTTTGAAATTAATAGTTGCATATTCTCGTGTCGTTGACACAAACAAGTGTCACGAGCATTGACATTTTTTTTGACGATCCAATGTGGTCTTAGTTTACAAAATAGGGATAGACTCACATTTAATTTGCTTAAAACAAATTTACTATGCAGATCCCGTAGAGTACCATTTAAGTATCGCTTTTGATAACAAACACCATCTTTTTTTATTACGTCTCTTTTACCTGGACAGAGTGTAGAATTAACATCACTTTCTAAAAATGTTTTAATTTGGTTTTTAACAAACTGTTGGGTACCAGATTTCATCCGCTCATAAGAGAAAGTGGTTAGTCTATTTGCATTTGATTTTGACATTTTGTTGTGGAGAAACCCCGTACACTGGTTTACAACCCTGTATTTTTTCAAAACTTTACCTCCTACTACTTTGGAAAAAATTTGTTTTTCTTTTTGTGACCTCAAGTTTTTATATTTTTCTTTCAAATTAAATTTCATTGTAGCACTCCACAGCAATTCTTTTCTTACTTCTGTGTTCACACTTCCATTCCTTTTTATGATTTCTTTCACTTTTTTCCTTGGTGTTGTATCTTCGTTTGGAGTAGCCCTACGTTTGTTTTCAGCTCTGTAAAACCTTTTCTTATACTTCTCTTTTGATTTCTTAGGTCTTTTTATCTCAATTTTTAATTTGCTTATTTCCCTGTATGCTGCTGATCTATCCCTACGAACTCTCTTTCTACCACTGTTGTTCTGTCTACTGCATTGTCCTCGTAGCTCTGGAGAATGATCTTGAATTGGCCCAGCTACCAACTTATTATTATCACGTGTAGGTTCCTGATGGTTTATTACTACATCTGGGTTATCCTCATTGTCAGTTTCTGGAGGGGTATTCCATCCCTCAGCTTCTTGTGCAGCTTTAATTCTGGTACGTCTATTTTGTGTGTTTATATTCCAACGTTTACGTCTTTCTTTCTTCTCTCTTCTGGTCATCTGATTAATCATTTTGACTTTTCCCTGATTCTTTAATCTTACATAAATGTCATGTTTTTGTTTTTTCAACGCTTCAGTAGCTTCAGCACTTAATTTAATCCTTTCTCTTCTTCTCTTTTCACACTCTTTTTTTCTCCGTAACCTCTCTTCATTACTCATAGGTTTTTTCTTCGCCATTTTTGATAAATTAAACTGAAAAATTCCAAAACTGCATTAACAGCTTATAAAGGTTTTGGTTCATTTCAACACATCATCTGTGTTAGAAATCTATCTGTATTAATTTTTTTAACAAGAAGTTTCCTAATATAAAAGTGCAAAACAGACCAAAGATTTAGTGTTAAAATTATCGTAGTAATAAGCTGAAGGTATGTAGTTTTGTGGGTTTGTTTTTTTGACAGAGAATCATACGGCAATAAGTTACATGGTCTAGGCCCATTCACATTTCAGATTGTTTGTAAACCCATAGCTAGAATCTTTGTGTATTGAACCATATCCAAAACCATAGCCAAAATCTTTACTACAACCATAAGAAAATAAGTCAAGAAAAATTAATTTAAAACCACCACATAAATTGCTATAAAATCATCGATTAAATCTGGACGTTTTCTATAGACCTATATAAATGCAAAAAAATAAAATCTATTAAAATATATAAAATTATAAATAAACATATATATAGTTATTGACTAAAAATAAAAGCCAGTCATTAGCATGGACAAAATGTCATTAGCATGGATAATAAACATCCATGCTAATGTCAAATCATATCTCCATGCTAATGACAAAGCGGCCATCTTTGAATTTTTACTTACTGAAACTAACCCATGCAAAACTAAGACTAACACACATGAATCCTTGTAATTGATGTGATCAATGAGAGTATGTATTATAATTGAAGGGGTCGGCGGAACAAAGTGCTAACCCTACTTTTTGCCCAAATCAGGCTAACAGCACATTCTAGCGGGGTTTTATATGAACTATTAGTTGCCTGCATGGAGTTGCTGATATGTCCGGTAGGTAGCTCTAGTATCGATGTGCATTACGTCGCCTCCCTGTTCTTTGTCAGGCATATTGGTGTCAACACAGTGCTAAGCCATTTGTGCAAAATATGATGGGTGATCATATGGACAACGAACAGGTCAGAAGGCAACTTTTTATTGATGAACATGAAGAAAGTGACGTATCTGTTGACGACAGTGATGCTGATCCTGACTTCATACCGAATTCGTCATCAGAAGATGAAAATAATGTAAGTACAGGTTAGCACTATATTACTCTAGGTTAACCTGAAAAGTTTTGTGATAGCATTTTATTTATTAATAAGCGTATATTTTATTATTTTTACAGCTTTATTGTTCTGTAATATGCTAAAACACTTTATACTTGTAAAGCAAAATTTGTTTGGTATTTCCATCACTAGTAGTATTTGAAATCAAACTTTCATTGTAACTACGCACTTGAGGGTTAGCATTGTGTTGCCTCAAGGAATGGTTCGCTAACTGATATTTATGGGTTAGCACTACAAAAACATATGATTTTAAATGAAGGGGTCGGCGGAACAAAGTGCTAACCCTCTTAGATGACTTTTTGAGTAATCACGAGTTCAAACTTTTATTAAATCTGTAAATCTGGTTTTATACTTTATAATTGGGTTTCAATTCTCAACTTGTTTGTTATACTATCCTACAACAAAATAACACTTTAATTTAGTGTTTAAAATATATACCTAACCAAAAAAATAATAATATCCTAACCTTACACGTTAAATGGTAGGATAGCACTATGTTCCACAAAGACATTCATGGGTTAGCACTTTGTTCCATAAATTAATCACACTATTATTCCTGAAAAACACTTTATTCGACGTCAGAGCAATGGTAAAAAGGCTAAGACATAACAAATTAATACAAACAAGTTCTTCGTGTTCTTGTACATACATTAAATTACTTCTGGGTTGTTATCCTCATTATTATCTTCATCATTATTTTCTTCAAGTTGATTATAATATTGATGATATGCCGATGGGATGAATGGAAGAAGTTTCTTCACATCAGCCAATTTCTTCTTATCAACTGGATTACATTTGCTTGATCTCTTTTTCAAAGCTTGGGCAGCTCCCGGTTTTCCTTTCTTTTTCAACGAGACAGAAGCAAACTCAGCGTTAAGCCGATGTTTTATCATCATGGTCATTGGGGATTTCTCTTCAAATTTGAAACAAATCGCCTTGCTAAACATAGGATTGTCTCCGAATTAAGTCTTGTTTTGAACTGTTTTTAAAGTTTTCTTCAAATCAGCTAGATCAAGCATGTCCTCGCAGCTCATTTGAGTAACGACAAACTTCTTATTCTGTCCGCACTTCACTACTATGTCCCTCCACTGATCCGGCGTGTAAACAAGTGGATGTTTTTTTTGGAACTTTTCAATTTTTGTGAAATCTTGGTCCGAGGGTAGAAAGGTATGGCCAGGTATTAGGTAATAATGTTCAATTTCTTTGAACAATTTTGTCGAAGTTAGATAGTTGTATAGTGCTACAAGGTTGTAATTCTTATTTTGGCCACCACAGTTGTCCGAGAATATAGCCAACTTTTCGCTTTTGATATTCATGCAAGTTATGTATTTGTACAAACAGCTACCAATCTCTTCACTGCCTCGTTTTGCGGTTCCTTCGTCCCACATAAACATGTAACCTTGATTGTTTCCGCAGTCATGGATACCAACATTGTAGGTCCATAGCTTCCGTAAGTAAAATGCTGGGCCACAGGTGAGTTTAGGGGTGGGTAGTGTTTGTTGCAGGTCAATAGATATTGTATGCAACCTATCAGGATGCATCTTAGCTTCTGTTGTGTATTCAGTAAGCTTTGCCTGCATAGCATCAGCTCTTCTCAAATGCAATTCTTTTTCATTTCGCAAACTTGCTTTTTCCTCCTCGCTTGTTGTTGGTTCACTCAACTTAATATGAATCATATCACATGTTTTGCAAGTATCCGATTTAGGTAATTTGAACCCTATATTGTATTGTTCGTTGAAAATACGCCTGTACTTGTCTTCCGATACTGGGGTCACATTTTGTTCTGTACAATAATTAAGATAATGATCTCTGTACAAAGATGTAATATTAAGGTCACAATCAAAATACCTTCTGTTAGGATTTTGTTTTCGGCTGTAATGAGTTTGGTATGTAGGTATTGACTTTATATGGCTGTGCATAGAGGCAACGCTTTCTTCAGGGACTCGGTTAGGTCGATTAGAGTGCTTTCCTCTCTTGTCATTTGTTGGCGTAGACGATGATTTAATTTGTTTCAAAAGATTGTTCAACCGACCTCTATTGTTTTGGAGGCCATGCACAGCCATGAAAGTCTTTCGGCATACTTTAACCAGATTACTGTTTACATTCAACTTAAAATAATAAGATTTTTGCCGCCTTGATTCCTCAGGTGCCGTCCCTCCGTACCTTTTCTTTACATCATAAGCCTCTATTAAGCCAAACAAATAAGCGTTTTGTTTGTCGAAATTTGCTAGATTCCAAAAACCATCAAATATTTGATTTTTTATTGGCTCTGGTAGTTTATCTTGGCACTTAAGAGGGCAATTACAAAGTTCACCAACAGAATGGGCAGCGACAGGACGCCCGTTTCTATTTATATAAGGCCTACCTTCATTTTTCCTTTTCTTATTTCTCTCTTTTTTAGACATGTTCACTTTCCTTTTTCGACCTCGAACAGGCTTCTCAGGTGTAGGATGGGGAGAACGGGCCCGTATTTCGTTTCCTGCCAAGTCTGCTGGAGCATCCTCCTGAAATAATAAAAATAATTAGTTTATCTTTTTATAAATTTCTTATAGTACTATCTATCAAAGATTATATTTTACTTATAACAGGCTACGTTATGCGTAGTCCATTCTAATGACAACCAATTAACATACTGACCTCAATTTTACAATAAAACTTGATGTAACAGCACTAATTCAGTTAATTTGTGTTTTTACCAGGAAAGTTTTGGGGTAGTCTTGATTTTTTCCATTTCTTATGTATTTTGGGGTGCTGAATCCGAATCTGAGGTTTGCCAACAAAAATTCTTGACGCAACATTGACAAAAATGAGAAAAATATGGAAAAAAATACATTTTTTGTAATATTTAGCCTATAACTCAGAAACTATCAACTTTTCGTTATTAGTCTATATTATAAAAATTAAAGTACACAAAATTTGCTAGCTCACAAATAATGCATCGAAATGTTTGCCAGAACCTGCCTCATTACAACCCTCTGAGCGAGGATAATTTAAACGGCAACAGTTTGTGTATGTTGTCTGTACACTAAATAAATAATTAACGGTTCAGTAACACAAAATTAATCAATTTTAACACTTCGGAATAATATATGACCTTTCCTGGGCATATATAATGAATATATTTCATTGACAGAATAATTTGAGAAATTTAAAAACTAACACAAAATGTTCCAATTTTCAAATAGCTCTGGAGCCTAAACGGTTCATCGGAGATTACCACATTAGGGGTACATTTTGTAGCAAATTTTGTGTACTTTAATTTTTATAATATAGACTAATAACGAAAAGTTGATAGTTTCTGAGTTATAAGCTAAATATTACGAAAAATATAATTTTTTCCATATTTTTCTCATTTTTGTCAATGTTGCGTCAAGAATTTTTGTTGGCAAACCTCAGATTTGGATTCAGCACCCCAAAATACATAAGAAATGGAAAAAATCAAAACTACCCCAAAACTTTCTTGCTATGAGTAAATTTAAATACAAATTTACTGGATTACACCAGGAAACAAAACATTCCACCAACAATCATTTTTACATCTGAAAGGAGGCAGTGGCAGTGCTGCCACTGCAATTCCCACTCCGGAGAAAAATTTCCCTCCTTTTAAAAACTCAGTTCAAATTAGTCCATGCTAATGTCAATTACATCTGAGGACAGCATTTTATAGCTCTTCCGTAGTATTATAAAAATAGAAAAAAATTTCTTTTTCATGTAAACGTTTGTTATTAGGTTGTAAGTTAAAATATGTAAGATATTTACCATATTATATTATTTGAGGTTATGACATGCAACTAGAATTACAAAAGTGAGGTAGGGACATCCATGCTAATGACATTTCCGGTATTTTAAATTTTTTTCTTATTTACTTAGGCATATTATATATTTATTT